ATTGCTATTTATTTATTTGTACCTTCATCGAAAAGGATAGCTTCGAAAAGACGATTTGTGTTCCTGATTGCTTCGGGTTCATCTTCATCTGAAAGTAAAATAAAAAAGAACTATTGCCTCACATTTAAATATATATATATATCGATGAATTGAATATGAAAGTAATGCAAATTATCATGTTTTAAATCAAGCATGAGGTGAGCAATTTGCTTACTGATGTTTCCTTGCAGAGCCGATTCGATTTCCGTTTCCCGCCAAAAATGCCGCCATTGGCTGTTTGTCATAAATTTATTCACTGACGGATTGAAAAGATAAATTTGGCGCGCAGAGCAAAAATCAAAAGTCATCAGTCTTCCCGCCAGTAAACAAAAAATTAAAATAAGGGGTTGAAAACTTTTAGAAAGCCTAACTATGAAACAAATCTAGAAAGATCAAATCGGTTAAATTTATTGCTCTAAATTAATTCGTTGATAGAGAATAACCTGCAAATACCAAAATCTATATATATATGTGTATATTTACCAAGAATTGCGTTGAGTCTTTTCTCTTGGTGTTTATCTCTGAACATTTCCATGTCCGATTTCTGAAGTCGCATTCCGCTGCARAAWATAAACAAGCAGAGGAAAGATACCAAACTAAATAGCTTTGCCATGGCTTAGTCCTGATGATGATGAACTTCAGTTGCACCTTGAAGTGTTGAATAAGATACTGAGGCGTTCCTTTGCTTTGCACACACATATATTTATATACTAGAGACTGAACTGGATTATCGATGGCCAATAAAATGTGATCTTTGTCAACGAATCAGGCACTAAGATTAATAAAAGCTAAAGTGAAAAATCTATAGACCGAAAAAACCTTTTGTTCTGTTCTGAAGCCGAATTTATACCTCAGACATTCCTACGATAGCCCGAGTAAATAAGCGTTTTTGAACATCTTTGTTTTAGGATTTTTAGGGTTCTTTAAGTTCATTAGGGTTTAGAAGTTATCTGATGATATTTTTAGTTTATTCTGTTCTGACAAAGTGTTATTTATTATTCCGCAAGGTACTTAAGGTACTGGTAATGATCAAGGCTACGAGAAAACTCAAATGTGGTTTTTTTTTTTAGTTTGTTGTCGTTGTCGTTGTTGGAGCTAAATTTCAGCAGTTGAACAAAGTTTTTCTAGGATGAAAATTCATTTCTAGGAAAATTTAGAATGCAAAACATTTTGGCGGGAAAATACAAATTTATATTCTTGAGAGGGTTTGAGTCAAATAAACGTTTTATTATTTAATTCTGCAAAGAACGTGCGCGATACGGAAAAGACCATGCCTGATATGAGACCGTATCAGCGCTGCTCATCTGCTCGCAATCTGGTACGATATAGTTTAGAGGGAGTTTCAGCATTTCTTTGCAGAATCAAATGATTAAAAAAATATTTGATACGGCTGTGCAATTTGTACTCGTCACTTTGCTTAGCCGACTGATAATTTAACTTCTATTTTTTTTTTTTTTTTTAGAATTAAAAAATTTTTTTTTAGTTTTGAGAGTTTAAGATTTATTTGGTTTTATTTTAAGTACATTTTGTTTTGTTTGATCATTTTTGGCGCGCTAAATGAGCGCCCACTGTTAACAGTAATTTAGTCGGCGTTGGCGGTGAGCTGCAGTGTCTATTGCCGTCTGTATTGCTCTTAACCATATCGATACTCGTAGAGATTACGAGAAAACTCGATAAAAGCATTTTTTCTTCTACCACGACAAATTAAAATCTCCAAAGTTAAGAAATCTTTGGCAAGATTTTTTCAGTTTAAGAGGAAATGTTTTTCAATAATGGCAAAAAGCGCCAAAAACTAGACTTTCGTATGAGTTTTGATCCCAATTTTCGCTTTGGGTTAACACTCAAAAGCTTTTTCAAACAGTTAGAAACTGATGTACTATGATAAAATGCCTGTTTGAAGCGGTATTTTCAATTGTACAAAGATATTTTGTTGCATTTGTTGTTAGAATGTTGCTTTGTCAGGCTTTTTTATAGGAAATATATGGGAAATAAACAAATGAAGGCCTAAACCTCATTTTCGATTCAAATTTTTGCTTTGGGTTAACACTTTGATTCCACTTTCAGCGGTCATCTCCACTTCCAAACAAGTTCAACTTTCTGGAATAACAAGATTTTAGCCTTGTACAACAGCCTTTCTTCAAGAAAATAGTTTTTGGCGCTCACCGCTTGAATACGAAAAGAATTATCTCTTAATCAAAACAAGGGCAAAAACGCCGCACCTATAGCCATCATCATTGTTACGCATGATCTAAAGCTATCGATAATGGTCAACAGTAAGACCACGTCCACACGAAAGAGTTTTCGTTTGCGAAAAACGCGTACTTTCTAATGCATTTTGGGAGTACACTAAAACGAAAACGCTTACATCTCAAAACCGCTCCAGAGTGGATACATTTGAACATTAAACAGCGGCCTATCGTATTATTTCGTATAATTGTGGATGCGAAGCTTTCGATCAGTTATTTTTATACAAATATACAATATTTCTGATGGATTAGGAACCGTTAAGATGCTTGACAAGAACAATTAATCTCTTTTAATCCTGCTTTAATAGAAATTATTGTTTTTACAATGGAGTTATGATAAAACAATGGGTAAATCGTTCAAGTCGTTCAAGCTGAAATATAGAATGTCAGATATCCTTTAGAGTATATCATTCACCTTAGTCTATGTGAGGGTGCCGCGCTCAGGACACTTATATATACAAGTCATAGACTATAAAAGCTTTGAATCAGTATAGATATCGTTAGATATTTTTGAGTTATTATTAGGGTCGTTATTATTTGGATATTGTTTATTGTTGGATGTGATTTTGTTGGATATTTTGGACCTGTAGGACAATCATTCCTTGAGTTAACTTCTTAATAGACTAAACAACTTCGTTTAACCGTTAAACATAATTTTTTTACTGTATATAATACTAAAGGGAATGACAGGTTGTCTGAACGATTACGTTTAGTCCAAGAGGTCTTGAACGCCTTCTTCTATTGTAAACCCCTTACCAGATAACTGTGTCTTCTAAATACTGATTTATTTATTGTTGTTTTCTTAATATATATAGCATCGCATACGGAAAGGGAGCGTTCATGATGGCTGCTGTCGTTACGCTTCTCTGGTGTCTACAATGAGATGTATCTCTCAGTTGTCAATTTGATTTCCTATATATAATTTGTTTTTCAATTATTTCAGTATATATTCTTGTCCAACGATGCAGTCTTAGTCTGATGACAAGCCTAACAGTTATATAACTACACATCTGTTCCTACTTAAACGTTTCCAAGAGTCTTGAAAATTCGATATAGCGTCACTTCTGTGAAGAGAATTTCAATTTCTTATGAGGTTGAAAGCTTATAATACGAGTGGTTCAGAGAAGGCACTGATCTCAGGATGTATCTTGGATACTTGTGTACTCAAATAAAGACGTACGATTTCAACATTCTAAAGCAAACATCGCGGAGTTTCTTCTGTTTTAATTTGGATGCTATTCAGAAGCAGGTTTTCCTGGCTTATGAACTCATCCCATTAAAACACGAAACAAAAATAAATATCGATGTTGGTTCTCGTCAGTACTTCTATTTATCAGGCTTTTTTGGTGTTTTTGAAAACTAAATATCACCTGCGATAATAATTTATTATTGCGATAAACGACTATTCAAAACTGTAACTGCATGAAGTAAATAGCTTTTCAACACCCTCGATTAGTTTAGCTTGAAACATCTGTGGTGTAGCCACGGTTAAGATGGGAAACATCGTTTATTTAGTCTGTTCAATGAATACCCCTTATAAACACTTGTACTAGACATATAATGCCTGGTCCAGGGATAGAGCCTATGACCGTGGCGATGAGAAGGAGTGCATTATCAGCGCACCAATCAGCGACCAGCGAGCGACTGAAATTCAAAAAACTGGACCCATTGTTCAAAACGATAGTGCTAGTTAAATTCAGGTTTGATTACCAAGGCAGCGAAGGTTTCCATACAAGTTTTTACTGATTCTCAAATTTACCGAGTAATGAAAAAACTTGGATCAAGTTTGCTAATCAATTTGGTTTTGGATACATTATTAATTTACCATTTTTTGGTTTTCTCTCGTGAACGACTTTCAAACGCCTAGCTGATTTTAATCTTAAAATATTTCCTTAAAATTTGTCGAAAATTTGTTACACCCTTTTGAAATAGTTACTGGGTACATTGTTTAGCTCGGGAAAATTTGATTCCTGTAGATCTAAAATTTAAAAACATCGGGTTCCAAGTGCAATAATAAGGATCTCAGTATCTGATAACATGGACTCGTCCATCCGGTAAAATGATACCGTATGATTTTACCGGACGGACTCGCCATTGTTATCAGTTCTATCGTATATCTTTCCCTAAGGGACCGGTTATTTATTACAGAGGGGAAGAAATGGTTCATTTATCTTTTGAACTGTGTATTTTTAAGAGCCCGTTCCACCTTTCCTGCTGCAGTACTGTTGGTAATCCCGCATCTACCTACTATTATAACTCCTTTACCGTAGTACAACTCTGCACACATAAATAGTCTTTTTTGTTGTTGTTATGGAGTGAATTTTGTCAGACGCGCATGAAACAGTTTCTAGTAGTTAGTGTATAATAGTCAAATAAGCACAAAAGAAAACGATGGAAATAAGATCTACGAACCTCTATTAGTCTACTAACTATTTGACAATCCGAGGAAAACCGATCCGAAATTTATTTTTTAAACTTTGTAAAAATAAATTCCGGCAAATTACGAGAACCTGCAACATTGTATTTTGTTACTGTTTTTTTCTTTTAATGGGATGACTTCATGAGCCAGGAAACCCTGTATCAATAACATCCAAATTAACACATAAAAGAAACTTCACGATGTTTGCTTTAGAAATGTTGAAATCGTACGTTTTTAATTATTTGCATAAGCATACAATTTAGATCCTGAATGCCTTTTCTTGCTATGACGTTTAAATGAACTCGTCGTCTCTATACCACTCGTTGTATTGTAAACTTTCATCCTCATAAGAAATTGAAATTCTCTTCACAGAAGTGACGCTATATCGAATTTTTAAGACTCTTGGAAACGTCTATAGATAGGAACAGATGTAGTTATATAACTGTTAGGCTTATCATCAGACTAAGACTGCATCGTTGGACAAGGATACTGAAATAATTGAAAAACAAATTATAGGAAAACAATTGGGCAACAATTGGGAAACATCTAATCGTAGACACCACAGAAGCGGTATAACGACACTCAGCCATCATGGACGCTTCCTTTGCGATGCTAGTCGCTTCAAATGAAAGTCAAACCACGGCCTCCAACGAGACTGCTTCTACAACAACCTTGATTGAATCCTTGGGACCTGTTTATCTTAACTCAGGGATTTTCATTGCTGTTTTATCGATTGTGGCAACATTTGGGAATGGTTTGCTCTTACTTGCGATATGGAAAGATCCCTACAGGACATTCAGGGTGCCTCCTACAGTGCTTGTGACCGGGTTAGCAGTTGCGGATTTCCTCACTGGCTTTCTGGTTGGTCCTGCTATCGCTTATGTCAGAATTGCGCCTCAAAGCGAGAGGCACACGAAACGTTTCACCGTCGTTGGCAAAGCGGGGAAAACACTGTCGTTCCTAACAATGAATGCCTCATACTTTGTTCTACTCTTTCTTACATGGAACCAATTTGCCGCAGTTCGATTCCCGCATCAGCACAGAAATTTCATCAGTAACCGAAAAGTTACGGTTTGCGTCGTCGGGATTTGGTTGTACGCCATCTCCTTTTCTCTTCTTCCATTCTGCGGCATCGATCCAGAGATAGTCAACAAATTGGACTTCTATATGCACACCACTGTCTTCATTGTTCTTCTTGTCATTGCGTATCTTTGTCTTTTCTTCGCTTTTCAAAACCAAGTTCATCGCATTACTTTAGCAACGACTCAACACTCTGTACACGGCGCCAACCATGCACGCAGGCAGGGGCTTGGCTTTACACGAAGTAGGAAACGCTCAGAAAGACAGTTTACTATTCTCACCCTAGTACTAGTTTCGTTCATCATTATTTGCACTCTGCCTTCTTTGATTCTTCAGTTGTTAACCATCTATTGGACCCCGACGAGTTTTGAAGAAAAGCGTAGTATTTTGATTGCTCTTGAAGTCTGTAGCGACGTACTGTTTTTGAAGTTTGCTCTGGATCCGTTCATTTATTGCTGGAGGCTCGCGTCCTACAGGAAGGCGCTGAAAAGCGTGTTGATGTTCGGTAGGGTATCGGTGGTGAGGGAGAATCCTTTTTCGTTCACGAAAACTGCACAACCGCGTAGAGGGATGGCGAATTGTGTGATGCCGTTATCAAGTGGGAGACGAGAATCGTATATGATGAGCATTCAACAAGGCAGTGCAACAGGGAGATACGACGACCAAGGCGAGAATGAATCGCACTCCGCGATAATTACTAGTCTGCGTGCAGCCCGACTATAACCTACTTATAATACCTACCAAGACCAGAAGACACCAAACTACTATCAATGCGTCATAGGGAGAAACTAGTTAATAGCGACCCGAAGGCGAGTTTGAACTACACTCAATGATTAGCTTCCAAGGCCAGAAAAAACTATCCATAACAGAGAAAGAGTGATATATCGTCATACCCTGCTGGAAGAGTCTCCTTTTAAGTTTTCCGCGAGCGAGAGAAACAAAGTGAGAGAAATTAAAAGGGAGAGTTTGTCAACAGAGTATTCATCGTCAGTGAGTATAACGACGAAGGCGTGACCGAACACTAAACGACAATCTTTTGATTGTGTTGATGTTGGATTATCGTAACAAATCTGCGTTCCTTTTATCAGAAAAAAGAAAGGAAATAGAAAATAACTGTCAGGACTGACGACTTTTACGAGAAAAAACGCCGAAATATATATTCTTTTTCCATGGTTGCGCTTGGATCCTAGAGGCCATATCAAAAACACACTAATTCTTATACATTATTGCTTCAAAGTTTTGTTTTAATATCTAAGCAAATGACCACTTTTCTAGTTTCTAACGAAAACTGAAATCGTCAAAATGCATCTCATTTTAACATGGTTCCCGCTTGAATTGGTCGCATTTCATTTTTCTCAAATTTTGCTTAAGTCCACAACCTTGAACAAGGTTTTTTTATTCTACTGAGTAACTTTACTTGGCCCGCATGAAAAAATAGTAAGAATAATACATAGAAATATAGATACTAATTTCATTGTTTTCTTGTAACTGTAAGTAATTACACAACTTTCACGGGACAAATAAATGTTGAATGTCGTTAAGATAACAATCTAGTTTTACGTTGTATTTATAAATGTCCGTGTTTTTTATTTTCGTCAATTTGAATAGAGTGAAAGCACAGAAAAACACCGGAAGGTATTAATTATAAAGACAGCGAAAAACAAGCTGGGCAAACAGTAGCTTATTCGTGCAAATGTTGGTTGATTTAAGGCTTTTATTTCGGTGTCTTTAATGACTTGATGCAGTGTCTATTCTACTTGATCTTGTGTAAATATTAGTGATACCCGACATAGAGTGCATCCGAATTATTTCAGGGAAATTAGAAGGTAAGGTTAGAACATTATAGTAAGGTGATTAAGAAGTCATTATTATAAGAAGTCATTACGATTTTTTTTGTATAATACACATCTCTTTAATTTTATTTCTAGATTTCTCTCAATCTATTTTTCGTTCTCTAATCTTTCTTTTCGGCTTTCCTTTTCTTTCACTTTGTTTTTTTTTTTTT